TGGTGGTGAGGTTACTGCAATGCTGCTTGCTCTACAGCCATCCATAGGGAGAAAGGGTGCTTTCTCCCAACTCACAGCTCACATCACAGATTCAAAAAAAAAAAAAATTAATTCAATAGTACAGAAACTCAGCTATTAAACAGTAGATTAAAGAAGTAAAGCTTAAATAAACATCAAGTAGTAGGAAAACACCCAGTCTGAGTGGCTTTTCCAACAGGCAGACAGCCACAACTTTACCACGCCTGCTAGTGAGGTCCTGGCATTTAGTGTGGTTTCCACATGCTGGGCATCTCTGAGCTAGCTGTGGTGGATGCAGCAGCAGCTTGGGGACCCAAAAGACCCAGCTTTATTTTTGGCTTTGATATTGGCTGACCCTCAACAGTTCCACTTCTTGTGTGTTCCACACACAAGCTCCCTGGGCTTGTCATGATACTTGCATATCATGGATGGAGGATGGAGCAGGATGGAGCCACACTGTTAAGCCTTTGTGCCTATGGTGACTTGTTTTCTCCTGGTAATTGCTGTGATGCAGAAGAAAGCTGTCTTCATCCCCCTGCTACAGTATCCTTTGCTCGGTGGGCGTCAGTCACTGATATGGGTGACTGATAAATGGTGGTATGGATAAGAACCCTCAACCCTTGGTTTATAGCCTTTATATTTTAAAAAGGGTTTTTTCCCCCAGTGCTGAGGCTAGCACCCAGGGCCTGATGCATGTTAAGCAAGCAAGCACTGAGCCACAGGCTCAGCTCACTCCCCAGCTCTTCATACCTAGGTTCACATAGGTGACTGTGCTCACTAAGTTGGAAGGTCACAGAATGCTGAGGGCCTTTGGCTGAGCTTACAGGCTCCTAGAAAAGCTACTTTTATTTGTAAAAGGCAAGTGTCACAATCATATTTTCATTTTGAGTAGCTAGCAGTGCAAACCTTAGCACAGCCAAGATAACATGAGAGCCACTGGAATGTGCACTGTGAATTCTGCTCAGGTTTTATTCATCCTTTACTTTCATAGGGCTAGAATGCCAGTGAATTGAGAGACAGCCACTGTATGCATGTACACACATATGCATACACACTCTGCACAGTGCACACATGAGTATCTGAGTAGCATCTGGTGTTGCCACGCCCAAGAATCCCTCTTTACTGGCCATATGAGCTGTCTCTGGCCTATTGCCCTGTTTGTCACTGATCCTGTTGCTGACAGAGCTAACATGTCCCAGTCAAACAATTGCTCTCAAAACACACTAGTGCTAGCCCCCTGGGTCTGTAGAATTAAAAGCTAAATAAGGTTTATTTGTTTTTTTTTTTTTCTTTATAAATTGCCTGGTTTCTAGGTATTTGATTATTATAGCAGGGACCTGATTAAAGCCTCAGACAGGCTTTATGGAGAAAATCAAGGTTAAACGAATCTGTAGGAGTAAGGCTCTGACCCCATAAGACTGCTGTTCTTATAAGAAGAGAGTGGGACACCAAGGTGCACATGTGCAGAGATTAGCTGGGTGGACAGAGAAGGAAGGCTGTCGGCCAAAGACACGCCTCACAGGAACCAGCTCTCTCAATACTGATCTTGGCATTGCTGTCCCATGCACCACAGGAAAAGAAATGTTTGCCAAAGCTTCCTGACTAGTCTACAGGGCTACAGAGATAGCCCTTCCTATCTCTCTCATAGATGAAGCAAGGGTGGCTGGAGGTATGAAACTTCCCCCAATTTCTGAGGGAACTCTGATCCTTATCTTGCAGAGTAGACAAAAGAAGCCTTTCTAAGGAGGTCACCCCAAAAACAAAAGCCACCATACTACGCACCCACACCTATTCCCCATAGCCCATATAAGTACCAGACACCCAAGTCAAATCTGGGTCCATAGATGCCTTCCCTCAGAAGGTCCACTGAAAATTCCTGATAGGTCTCCTCAAGCAAAAGATGACTAGCAACAACAAGGATTAATTTCTAAAGAGGGATATGAATGAAAACAGGACAGGCTGAGTCCCTGCCATGGGCACAGCTCAGTGGTATCAAGAGGAACATCCTCATGGAAAAGGCACAAACCAGCTGGTAGCTTTGTTGGGGATGGAAATGGCTAAGGAGAGCCAAAGACCAGATCCATGGCAGCCCCAAGAACTGCTGACAGAGAACCCAATCCCCCTGCTCCATAGCCCCCACTGGAGAGAGCAGAAGAGAGGGTGGGAAGGGCCTTAGGAATGACGCCTGGCCACCAAGAGGAGACAGGTCGTCCTCACACAGACTTCAGTATCTGCTCACCCTGTACAGCAACAGAACTCACATCAGCATTTCCTCCTTAGCAGCCAGGGGAGGGAGGACAAAGGAACTTGGGACTATGGGAAGCCTTTGGGACAGTGCCACACATCAGGGCAGGAACTTCAGCCTATAGGGAACATGGACGCAGCCTGCAGTTGGGATGCACATAGGCCTTTTTCCAGGAAAATCAGATGCTAGAAAACAGATGAAATACCCGAGTAACAAAGGAGAGTGTTCGTGTGCAAACAGAGTAATCCAGATGTAAAGACCCAGGTGACATGGTCACATGTAAGCTTCTATGCCATCTTAGGTAACTATTGTGTTTCTAAGAGAAATGGCATCCTGAGGTACTGTTAAAGGGGCCTGTAACATCCCTGAGTGACAGTCATTCCCCATCTGCCACAACTGCTATGGGCTCCAGGTTTCACTGCACTTTGGTATTTGAAGGAAATGATAATTTTTACCCAAAGGATAATGAGGAAGAAAAGTATAATTTATTTTTATTTTTTACAGTTTATTCATTTTATGTCCTGATTGTAGGTCCCTTCTTCATCTTTTCCCAGTCCAGCCCTCCCTCCCTCTTTTCCCCTATCACCCTCCCCTAGTCCACTGAAAAGGGGAATTCTCCTCCCCTGCCATCTGACCCTCGTTAATCAAGTCTCATCAGGACTGCCTGAATCCTCTTCCCCTGTGGCCTGGCAAGGCCGCATCACCAGGGGTAAGTGATCAAAGAGCAGGCAACTGAGTTCATGTCAGAGGCAGCCCCTGCTCCCCTTACTAGAGAACCCACGTGGAGTTCTCCACATGTAACCAATTGGCTACATCTGAGAAGGGGGTCTAGGTCCTCTCCATGCATGGTCCTTGGTTGGTGCATCAATCTCTGCAGGACCCCTGGGCACAGATTTTTTGGCCTTGTTGGCCTCTTGTGGAACTCCTGTTCCCTCTGGGTCCTTCTAAAACCCCACACACACACACACTTCTTCCATCAGACTCCCTGTGTTCTGTCCAAAGTTTGGCTGTGAGTCTCAGCATCTGCTTCAATTCTCTGTTGGGTGGAGCCTTTCAGAGGCCCGCTATGATAAGCAACCATCCTGTTCCCTCTCTTCTACCACTTCTGGTATCTATCCTGTTTGCCATTCTGAATGAGATTTACACATACTCCTTAGGGTCCTCCTTGTTGTTTAGCTTCTTTAGTTCTGTAGATTTTAGTATGGTTATCTTATAATGTATGGCTAATATCCACTTATAAGTGAATATATACTATGCACGTCTTTCTGGTTCTGGGTTACCTCACATAGAATGATCTTTTCTAGTTCCATCCATTTGCCTAAAAATTAAAACAAGATTTCCTTGTTTTTAATCCATTGTGTAAATGTACCACAATGTCTTTATCATTCTTCAGTTGAGGCACATCTAGGTTGTTTCCGGATTCTGACTATTACAAATAAAGCTGCTACAAACCAAACAATCAATTTTAAAAATGGGGTATAGAGCTAAACAGAGAATTATCAACAGAGGAATACTGAATGGAGGAGAAACACTTAAAGAAATGCTCAACATCCTTAGTCATCAGGAAAATGCAAATCAAAATGACTCTGAGATTCTATCTTACACCCGTCATAATGGCCAAGATCAAAAACTCAAGTGACAGCACAAGCTGTAGAGGATGTGGAGAAAAGGGAACCTTCCTCCATTGCTGGTGGGAACACAAACTTGTATAAACACTTTGGAAATCAATCTGGTGCTTTCTCAGAAAATTGGGAATAGCGCTACCTCAAGATCCAGCTATACCACTCCTGGGCGTATACCCGAAAGATGTTCCACCATTCAATAAAGACATTTGCTCAACTATGTTCATAGCACCTTTATTTGTAATAGAAAGGTGTAATTTTTACTCTATCCATGAATGTGATGTGAAAGTAGAGAAAACTAGCCAGGCGGTGGTGGCACACGCCTTTAATCCCAGCACTCAGGAGGCAGGCATATCTCTGTGAGTTTGAGGCCAGCCTGGTCTACAGAGTGATTCTAGGACAGCCAGGGCTACACACAGAGAAACCCTGTCTTGGGGAAAAAGAAAAAAGAAAAAAAAAAAAAAAAAAAAAACCTGAAGAAGAAAAAGGAGGAGGAAAGTAGAGAAAATCTGTCCTCTCCCCATCTCCTTTCTGCTATCTGGGGTAGATGAGATGGTTACAGATCAGAAAACAGATAAAACAACTAGTCAGGTAAAGAAAGAACCCTGACCTCTGATGACCACAGAGCCCCACACTAGACCCTCTGCCAACTTAGTCGGGGCCACCAGCTCGACTCCCACCTGATGACCTAGTCATAACACCTATGTTGTTAAACAATTCTAGATTTGCATGTGTGTGTGTGTGTGTAACATAAGGCCATTGACACCCACCCTTCAGTGCTGTGTCTCTAATACTTTTTCCAGGAAGCGGAACTGGAAATGGTTTGCACCACAGGATCATTAGACTATCGCATCAGCAAAATTGTTTCGTCCAGAATCACAAGGGAAACTTAGCTACAAGAGTTTCTTACTGCTGGCTGTAAACAGAAGGCCCTTTGGTGGATACACTTCAGGCACCCCAATCTGGCCATGGTCTGGAAGCCTACAGTGTTACCATGAACAAGCACACAGCAAGTATGCACTCGCCAACTTTATGGCCACCTGCAAAGCCCACACCCATATAGGAAGCAGAGAGGCACTACTGGCATACACATGCCAGCCTCAGTGAGTACTTACGAACTGTCATGGACTCAGGCACTGAAGCAGAAGGTAACAGGCTGCTCAGAGGACTTCCTTGGCCTGGAGAACTGGCAGAAAGCAGACAGAAAGAAGTTACATTCAGCCTAAAACACATCTTCAGTGCTCACAACACTCACAGGAAAAATATTTTTCCAGCAATCTACTGGAAAAACAGAAAGCAGCTGCCCCGACAAATGTGTCTAAAATTTATTGGTAACCCCAAAACCAATACAATGAGTTTGCAAGCCACTCATGAGAAAGAGTCACTCAGTAGGCATGTTTACAGCTTGGGTAAGACAAGATATCATGGCCTTCCTGTTCCAACTCATGTAAACACATTTTTCCCATGGTCTATTTGGTTTTCACATTCTTGTGGTTTGTACTGTTGCTTCTCCTAGTTAAAATACTCCCTGGATGCATGTCAATGTCCCTAGGACAAGACACATGCATGTTATGTAAGCTTCACTCAGCCAAATGTGTAGCTTCACTATCCAATGTCAATTAATCAACAGTATGTTTGTTCCTAATAGTCTCTCATGTAGCCCAGGCTGGACCTTGCTATATGGCCAAATATGATTTTGAACTTCTGATCCTTCTGCCTTCACCTCCTAAACACCATGTCCAGTTTTATGTGGTGCTGGGGATCAAACCCAGGGCTTTGTGCATTCTAGGAAAACATTCTTCTATAACTGAGCTATATCTCTTGTAGATTCTGAACAAGATGCCTTTAAATGAGGACAGACATAGACAGAGATTATGTATCAAGCAATGGATATAGTAATGTTACAACAACAGCAACCTGTCCCAGCATCCCCCCTATAAGCAGGGCTGGTGCTCAAAGACCCTTAGAGAACATAAACACGTGCAAGTAACTGGACTGGCTGCATAGTGACAATCACTCTGGCTTGTCTGTGAACGACAGGGAGAAGTCACGGCTCAGACTCAGGTTCCTCAATCACTGCTACACTTGGAAAAGGCTCGGAAACATAACAAAAAAGGAGTCAGGGTCCTGGAAGCGTGCAGTGACAGCATCCTTTTTGACACTGGACTCAGTGGTATCAGACTTTTCACAGTGTCATTTTAAAAATCCTGTCTGTTCTGGGTGACAGGACACCAAGCAAAGTGAGGGGCAGCCAGGACCTCCTCACCTTGAAATGCCAAGTTGCGCATACAGATGAATAACTTCAAGACACCAAATTAAAATCATGAAGATAAAGGGGAAAGTAAGAGCAACAGAGATGAAAGTGATGTTAGGGAGAGCTCAGTGGCAAATGTCCCCTCTGTGAGCAACAGTGACACTGGAAAACTTAGTTTTCTATCTGGATTTTTTTTTTTTTATGTGAAAGAGAAAAGCATTCTACATGTACAAGCTGCCAGGCAGTAGACTAATTACTTAAAGCTATTACATCTTTCCCCATGACCTAGACATCATGGAACACTAGGGCTGATGAGCAGCATTATCAACTACTAACAAACTTTAAGTAGGAAGGCTGAGGAGTAGGTGTTCAGTGTGGCCGAAGAGCTGTGGAGAGGACCGGTGCATGAAAACAAGGCTGGGTGGCTGCTGCCTCTCCTTATGGTGCTGGGTGGAACCCTGGGCTTTTTGCACACTACACAGGCACTCTGCAACTGAGGGGCTGCCTAGCTCTGACAGTGTATCATAAAGCATGTTATCTGGGTAAACAGTCACCCATGACCCCAACAACTGCACCTGTAAGCACAAACATGAGTTCAGGCTCTGCCTTCAGCCCCAACAGGTACCATATATCTTCAAGTGAGAATAAAACACAGATGTAGGAGGGCTGGAGAGGTGGCTCAGAGGTTAAGAGCACTGGCTGTTCTTCCAAAAGTCCTGAGTTCAATTCCCAGCAACCACATGGTGGCTCACAACCATGAGATCTGGTGCCCTCCTCTAGCATGCAGGAGTACATACAGGCAGAACACTGTATACATAGTAAGTAAATCTTAAAAAAAAAAAAAAAAAAAAAAAAAAAAACAGATGTAAACAGCATGTCACAATCCACTAAGTGGCTTGGTGTCTTGATACTGACCTGTACCGAAGGCCAGGTTCTGAGAGTACGTGGTCCTCTGGTCCTGTCCCATTCTCCAGACTTCCCACAGGGGCATCTGTGCAGAAATCACACAGAGAGTGTGAGGCTTTATTTTCAACTCCATTTTCTCCTTACAATGTGCTCAGCTGCTCTTTTATTTTCAACTCCATTTTCTCCTTACAATGTGCTCAGCTGCTCTATCAGCTGACTATAAACTCTTGCCACCTACACACTGGACTCATCCACTACCCTTTTAATTAATTCAAGCATGATTAAGACTTGGCGTCAGTTGCTACGTGTAACTTGTTTTTTGTTTGTTTGTTTGTTATTTTCTTTTTTTTTTTTTTTTTTTTTTTTTTTTTTATTTTTTAGCAAGAGAATGTTTATTTTTAATTTTTTTATTTTTTTTTTTTTGGTAAATTGGGGTTTTTTTTTAATTATTTTTTTTTTCTTGTTGTTGTCA